CCTTGCCTTATCTGCTCCGTGCGTTGTTGTAAAGGAGTCATGCGCAGCACTCAGACGTCGGGCGAGGCGGAGCCAGCCCTCAGACGCCCGGACGCCCTCGGGGGTCGGGCGAGGTGGAGCCAGCCCTCAGACGTCGGGCGAGGCGGGGTCAGCCCCCAGACGTCGGGCGAGGCGAAGCTAGCCCACAGACATCGGGCGAGACGGGGCCAGCCCCCAGACGTCGGACGAGGCGGAGCCAGCCCTCGGGGGTCGAACGGGGCAGAGCCAACCCTCGGGAACCAGTCGGCAGCGCGGTAGCACGGCGGCGCGGCAAGGTGGAGCGGCGCGCGCGGCGAGGTGGAGTTAGGTCATGGTCTGGTGGCGGCGGCGGAGATGGCAGGCGGCGGCGTCGCTCGGGAGAAAAGAAAATGAGGACGGTAGGTGAATGAGTCAGAAAGAGAAAGGGAAAGTGGTCAGATGTGTCAGACCAAAATACGGGGTTCAAAAAAATGTTCAAAACACAAATACGATGCATATACTACTAGTTGGTCTTAAAAAACCAGCACAGATCTCAATGCAATATCAACGGTCGCATATGTAGGGGCATGTGCCCTTAAGGACAGAATTTCCGCGTCCAGGAGGTTGTCCCTGGCCTCTATTTTAGGGCGCCTCACGGCTAGGCAACAGAACAGGTTACGGTACGGAGCTTACGGTTGGATCAGTTAAGACCCCATTTAGTTGCACTTCATTTTGCAAAAAATTTTAAGATTCCTCGTCACATCGAATCTTTGGACGCATGCATGAAGCATTAAATATAAATAAAAAATAAAATTAATTACACAGTTTAGACGAAATTCACTAGACTAATCTTTTAAGCCTAATTAGACTATGATTGGACACTAATTATCAAATAACAACGAAAATGTTACAGTACCATTTCGTCAAAAATTTTGCAAACTAAACAAGGCTAAGTTAAGCAGCGCTCTAGTAGTCTACGGAGCAAGCAGGTTAAGCACTCACCAGAGTTCAGAGGAAAGGCAGAGTAGTAGCAGTAGTATCAGTTAAGCTGAGGGAGCAGAGGAAAGACTTGCTACGAGGCGGGCTTTCAGACTCACCGGAGTTCAGTGGGATTTTAATCTGACGCCTTCTTGATTTTTACTGTTTTGTTGCTTTTGTGGGCCGGTTGCCTAGGCGGAAAGGTCGAATCCACAGGCTTCATGAAGCCCAATTGCGCCGTCTAAATATGTATTGTGCTGTTTTTTGTTGTTATCTAACAAGCACGATGATCAATAATAACTGGGCTGGGCTACACAGGATGGTAAAAGACACGTTTGAAAACTACGGAGTAAAAGACAAATTAAATTTAGAAAGGCCAAAAATTGCAAATCTCATAGCCCATAGTGCATGTTCAGGTATAGGTGGTAACCATTACAGGCAAAACACACCATCAGGCCACACCATCTCACAACCAACCATGTCAGGTCAGAGAGATCTGCAATGAGATCTGAAAACATACAAGATTCATCGTTGATACACAGCCGACACATTTTGTTTCCATCGACATGGACATTAGGAAATCTTTCATTATTTGGTTCATTCGATGCACGGGCATCATCTCTAGAACCGTTCACTAGAGGAGTAGAATCTGATAGTCCTTGCGCATCTTTTGGCTCTAGTGGGATCTCTTCAGCGAAGTACAGAGTAATAGACATACAAAACAAAAGAAATACCTGCAAAATTCAGCTTGCTAAGCTTTGGCATACACAGTCCTTAAAAGGGCATAGAACATCTAAGAAGGATCCTTAGTGCATAAGTACTAGCTTCAAATTCCAAGGGCAGTTACAGAATTTCTGAAAACTTATAACTGCAGCTAAGAAAGCTGCTTTCAAATTACCATAAGCTTCACAGCATGCTCTTGTCATTAGAAAAGGAAACCACCTGCACAAAGAACAAGCAGGCAAGCTCAATTCTCATAAAGAAGTAGATTTTGTTGACTAGGGAGAGTTTGGGAGAAATTATATGTGAACTTGATGGACCAAGAAGCGCCTAATAAGAGGACCAAATGTCAAAAGATGGCATGAAGAGCTATACATGCCATCATTTTTTTATAAGCTTATCTGACTATGCGAGGATTTTCATCATGAAAACGAAAACTGGAAAGGTAAGAGAGCAAACTTACGGGATTGCTAGTTTCCTCTACTACTTTTACAGAATAACAACAGCAATAGAGCCAAACTTTAAAGAAACAACAGCAAAAAACTGCTCACTCGCACCAAATTATTAAAACAACCCTAAAACAAAACAAGCTGTGGCTAGTGATCAAATTAAAAAAACAAAAACAATAAAAAAATTCAACTGGAGGCCAAATTATAAAAATAAAATCGATCCCTAGTTATACAAAAATGACTACCAATTAAGGGTCAAACTTAAAAAAATTGTGAAAGGGATCAAATTAAAAAACAAAAAATAACAACTAGAGGCCAAATTATATAAAAAAACATACAAAAAGGGCTACCAATTAAGGGTCAAACTTAAAAAAAAACAAAAAAAACTGCTAATTGGGCACCAAATTATAAAAAAAACATGCAATGAACTAGGGATCAAATTTAAAAAGAAAACAACAACAACAAAACAAAAACAAAAAAACTACCAACTGGAGGTCAAATTATAAAAAAAAAGGCCTACCAATTAAGGGTCAAACTTAAAGAAAATAACATAAAAAAACTGCTAACTGCGCACCAAATTATAAAAACATCCCTACAACAAAACAAGCTGTAAACATTCTAATTGACATTTGACGCATCTAGCAGGCTAGCAGCTATGAGATGACTTTGAAATTTATCCAACAGACTGATGCATTCTCTAATTTATCAAAGCGTTTTTTCTTTCCGAAAACATTTTGCTACACAGATTCTCCCTGATTGGAATGACCTTTCACTTTTTGTCGGAGAATACCATAAAAGTTAACACTGACTCCTCCGTCTCTACTTGAAGGATGAGAGCGCCCTTGCTAACCAAATTCAATAACCACCCAAGCTTTTGTGGAAAACAACAGTACATCCGGATCAAGGATTGGAGCTATAGCGCCGAACCCCCTCCCCTGGGCCTCGAGAAGATGATGTCGAGATCCACGAAAACAAACAAACAATTAATGAAATACTACTTGTTGGATTGGAGGCAAACCTACCTCACTGACACGGCCCAAAACCCTGCCGCCGCGGTCTAGGGGTAGGGTGTCGTCGGAGGCGAGTGCGAGACGAGCAGGGCCGCAAACGCCGCCGTCGCTAATTTTGGGATGGCCGGACGCACAGCGATGGGAACGGCCGACGCTGCCAAAAATGCCCCCGCGCAGGGGCGAGGGCACATCCGACGATCTCCATAGGTGGGCCAGATGTACGCCGCAGTGGTCTGGTCCGTGTTGCCCGCCCTCCGCCGCCCTCGACGTGCTGAGCAAAGCCGCCACCGCCATGGCTCCTTAGTCCTTCCTATCGTCACCGCCGCTCGGAGTCGGACTGAGGGGGATTTATGCGAAATTAAATTTTAGGTTGTTGTGTTCAGTTCCGATGCTCTTTGAATTTTTTAACATTATTTAGATTCGTTTTTTTAAGGCCTGTTCAGCAGTAAAATGCACCGGCGCCCTTAATCTAAATCCTTGAACTTGGGACACGCTACGTCACATGTTCAAACAGGCCCAAACTTGACCTGTTTGCTGACGTGATGGTCCACGCTGGCACCAGCGATGTCAGACCAACCCCTAATTTTAGCAGAGCTTGTCATTTAGATCCTTAAACTTTCAAAATGCACATCTGCGTATATGAACTAGGCCCACACTACTTCACAAGTCTGGTATCCGTATTTGTCTTAATGTCAATATAGATATTCGTATTCATATTTGATTAATCTGGATACCAAGTGGATGTATCCGTATACGATTTCTATAATTTTTCTCTATCCAATTTCATATTCGTATTGCAAAAAAAAGTAAAATACCTGACATTATCCGTATATGTAAATAACAAAGTGCTCTGTAAAGTCACCTAAAACTTGTATCTATGACTAATTAGTAATGTATACATATAATATCAATTTTAATGTAACAAAAAATATGCATCATTTAAACTATTGAAAACTAATCTATGTGACTAATAATATTATTATTAATGATATATAAAGGTTAGTTTTAATATGGCTAATCATATTAATTTTATGTACTTTAATTATTCATATATTGGTGAAATTATTTTTATATATTTTAAACTATTTATTGATAAATATTATTTATAGTTTTACTATTATTATATATTTAGTTATTGAAATGTTTATTATATATGTTATTTTTTATATATTTTAAACTATGTATGCAAATGTGCATTTGAAAGTTTAGGGACCTGGATGATACATTCTGCTAAGTTTAAGGGTTGGTCTGGCACTGCTGGTGTCAGCGTGGACCGCCATCAGCAAACGGGTCAAGTTTGGACATATGACGTACCATGTGCTAAGTTGAAGAACACGGATGTGGGTTTTAGGAGTGTGACGAGGACTTAGATGACACCCTACGCCAAATTTAGGGGGCCACTGTCCCAATTTACTCTCAGATATTATCCAACTCCATCTAATGGCTACTATCCAGTTTGAAGCGATCTCTTAGTTGCATGAGATGGACTTTCGAAGCCACCTTTCTTCTTTTATAATATATATGACATGTAGCTTGTATATAAGCATAAGCAACAGCAAACTCAACAACCGCTGGGCCTAAATGACCTTCCAGTTCCAGGCCAGCTGATTTCACACAAATTCACACGGACATCAGCCACATCTTCATGCATGGTCATGAGAAGATACATTGGATCAGCTTGCTCGCTCGTTATTGTGTTCATTCATCAGACTTCAGACTACTACTAGTTCGTTCCATTGGATCAGGACGACAAGTGTATGTGAGCGAGCACTACTAGTTGTACTAAGCTGCTGGTGATCCACATCCACTCCTTGCTTCTTGCATCCGCCGCAGATGACCTGAGCTGCTAGTTGCCGCCGCCGGGGACGTCGTAGGCGCACTGCTGCACGGTGACCTGGTCGATGGGCAGCGTGTCGGTCGGGAACGGGCAGGCGCCGTCGTGCGCGCCCTGGAGCGGCTCGCACGGCGCCGGGCTGACGTTAACCGACACGCCCTCGACGTCGGCGCACGTCCAGGGTACTTCCTGGACTTGGACAGCTCGGCGGTGACGTTGGCGACGCAGATGCCCCGGAACGGCGCGCCCTGGATGCCCTCCAGCCGCGTCCTGGTAGCTGATGCTGTCCACGACGGGGATGGCGTTGGGGTCGTACTTGTCGTCCGGGTGGGACTTGTAGTTGCCCGTCATCCAGAACACCCACTTCATGGTGGTGAGCGTCATCCGCCGCACGAACACGTCCTTCACGTACGCGCCACGGCCCACGGCGGTCTTGATGCGCACGCCGGACTCGGAGTTGATCGCCGTGATGTCCTCCGCGCGCACGTCCTGGATGCCGCCCGACATCTCGCTGCCCAGCGCGATCACCGTACGAGATCTCGTCGGGGACACGCACGTCAGCCGACGGATCACGATGTGCTGGCTCGGCAGACCGTACGAGATGCCGTACTCGTCCCACCCGCTCTTGATCGCCACGCAGTCGTCGAGGATTTATTCCGTCTGTACCTAAATATTTATCGTTTTCATTTAGCGAGAAACAACTTTGACTAAATATATATAAAAAATTAATATTTATGATACATAACTAATATCATTAGATAGATATTTGAATCTAGTTTTATAATAAATTTATTATTTGGAGATACAAATATTATACGTATTTTCTACAAATCGAGTCAAACTTTCGATATGGAAACTAACTGCGACAGTTAATTGGAGACCGAGGGAGTAGTTACTGTAGTAGCAAGGAGGGCATTACCATAAGTCAAAAGTTTTGGTAACCACAAACAGAGTTACGATAAAGTCAAATAAGATAAGTGACGAGAACCCAGTGATCCTAGAAGAGTAAATTACTATAGCAGAGATGTAGGGCCTATTCGCTTGTCTAAATTATGGAGGAATCTGAATGGTTTGGAGGAATGCTGGAGGAATTTATGAGAAAAAAATACTGTTCCGGATGAAAAAATAAGCGGATCAAGCCAAGTTTAAGGGCACGCGAACGGGGCCGTAGTTTACGATAGAATTCAGATATTTATTGGAACTGTATAACATGAAATAAGGATTTACTAAAATAATAGCAGGTCGACGTCCATAATTATGGTTAACCCACAAAGGTACCGTAAGTCAACAAAGATGACTTTCATACTAGATACGCATATATAAGGATTTACAGAATTCTTCAAAAAAAAAGGATTTACAGAGTATGAAGTCCATACATAGTTACCATAGGTCAACTAAGATTCGTGGAAGACATACCAGAAGGAAAACTTACAAGAATTCAGTTATCCCTAGAAGAGTAAATTACTAGTACACTATAGATGTAGTTATGATATAGTTCAAAAAAAATTTAAAAGAAGGTAAATTACACATTAAAAAATATAAAATAAAAAATACATAATATTCTATTATGATTCTTTCATCGCCTTCTTCCCCAATGGCTTCCCTTAAACGTCCGAAGCCAAAAGTGCACTCCTTATGCAGAATCCAAGGACCACCCAAAATATTGGACATGCCGTAAGATTCAACACTTCGTAACTAGTCTAAAACGCATCTAAATTCTTCGAAAGAATATTGGTAGTTGCATAAATCGGTATACGACATATAGTCTGCAGATTAAATCACCTCGAGACCTTGAATTCTCTCTGCGACCATCGACGATGAGATGGATGAGACCCATAGCCGTTGTCCTTGTAGGGAGCTCCCAGAAGCACCCCTCCCCTTGCAGATAAAGGCCATAAATTGGCTGCATGTCGATGAAATCGACGACTGCAACGACGATCTCGTCTTGCCAATCACTGAAGTCATCGCAGGAAACACGATCCCAACTGGAAATCGTCTTATTTCATCGGAAGATTTATTAGACTAAACCCTAAGCAACTAGATCGAAAAACTACAGGGAAAAAGGATGGGGCCCTCCCATTCTTGTCCCTAGCAGACACACCGGAGAGGAAGAAGGAAAGGGGCCCTAGGAGCGGCGGCCGTGGCGAAAGCGAGAGTTGCGGCAGCAGCGATTGTGTCTCTCGATGACGGCGGCTTCCGTAAAGGCTGATATAGTTCATCTTTTTGTTTTGATACTACAATTATGTAACATGAATATAATTATTTACTAGAATCGCAAGGAGTCAAAGTTAGGGAACTTGAATTAGCAAAAGTCCACCGACTGAGAGGTACGACGAGATTATTATTGGAGAGTGACCGACCGTGCGTTAGGCCAGCCGCCCCGCACAGCCTGCGCGCTCCTCTTCTTCCTCCCGCCGCCCGCTTGCTTCTTCTTCCTCCCGTGGTCCCACCACCCCACCGTCGTGGTTCGACCGCCCTACCAGGGCGAGCAAGGGTTTCGCCGCCGCGAAGCTCCGGTGAAACCCTAGCTCATCCGCTGTAAGGTCGAGATGGCGAACTAGAGAGGGTAAATAGTCCTTTCTAAAAATAATCGCGTCGGCTAACCGAAACAAGTGGAGAATTAAAACTATCGGTCTAACCAAGACTACACCCCTCTATCTATGTTCTCTAGCACCTTTCAAAGATACTAATTATGCAACAATGGTGCCAGTCTAGCTAGAGCTCACCAATCCAATTCTAGGAGCAAGGTTACATAAACCTATGACACTAATATTTCAAGCAACGAGAAAGCTCCTACACATGCTAGTAAGCAAAAGCACAAAGCCAACTAAGCTTACTAGCAATGCTCAATAACAAGGCAACCAATGCCAAATTAGAGAGCGCAAATACTTAGCTACACAAACTAAGCAATGTGATTAACAAGATTACACAAACCAAATTAGCCACGCAAGGGAGATACTTCTATGCTACACAAGCAAGAAGGTAACTAGTGAGCTACACAAGCTAACTAATTACAAGAGTAACTATACAAGCACAATGTATATGAAAGTAACCACAAGCTTGTGTAAGGGGATTGCAAACCAACAGGAAGAACAATGTTGACACAGTGATTTTCTCCTGAGGTTCACGTGCTTACCAACACGCTACGTCCCCGTTGTGTCGACCGCTCACTTAGGGTTCGGCGGCTAATTGGCATCACCCGCCAAGCCCGCACGTCGGGTGCCATAAGAACCTGCCCCAAAAGTGAGGGTAGCTCAATGACACGCTTTACTAGAGTTGCTCTTCGCAGCACCCGCGGGGTGAGCACAATGCCCCTCACAAAACTCTTCTCCGGAGCACCGCACAAGCTTCTTGCGGGCTTCGACGGAGACCACCACCAAGCTGTCTAGGAGGTGGCAACCTCTAAGAGTAATAAGCACTATCGGCTTCCAACTTGATCACCTAGTGCCGCTCGATGCAACCTCACGATGCAATCGCACTAGAATCGCTCTCTCACACAATCAAATGATCACTATCAAGCATGTGTGAGATAGAGGGCTCCCAAGCACTTTCAAGCATGGACACAAAGTCCCCCGAGGTGCTCAACACTTGCCATGGCCGAGACCACCTTCTATTTATAACCCCATGGGCTAAACTAGCCGTTACCCCTTCACTGGGCAAATTTCGGGACCACCGGACGTGCAGGTCGTTTGCACCGGACGCACCATTCGTGTATACTGGACGTGCCCGATCGCCATACCAGACGCGTCCGGTAGCTGCCTGAGCGCCACGTGTCCCATTTCAAACTAGCCGTTGCCTCCAACGGCTCTCTGACATGTTCGATCGGGCGCGCTATTCGAAACGACCGGACGCTGAGCCGCAGCGTCCAGTCGAGGCCAGTAAGCTCCCAGGGCCGACCGGACGCACTATTAGAAAATGACCGGACGCTAAGCCTCAGTGTTCGGTCGAGTCCAGTAAGCTCCTAGGCTCGACCGAACGTGTTCGGTCACTCCGGACCGGACGCTCCCAGCGTTCGATCAACTGTTACACTGAACATCGACTTCGCTGATTCACACCGGACGCGTCCGGTCGCTAACACTTAGTCGCTCACCTCAGGTCCAAATATCGAACGCGTCCGGTCGTCATACCGGGCGCGTCCGATCACTCCTGTCTGAACCGAAGTCTAGATAGAATACCGGACACGTCCAGTAGCCACACCAGACATGTCCGGTCACTCTGTGACCAGCACGACTAACTTCTTTTCTTCACCAACTTCTTCTCCTTTGTAAATATGCCAACACCACCAAGTGTACACCACCATGTGTATGTGTGTTAGCTTTTCACAAACATTTTCTAAAGGATTAGCCACTCAACTTGCCACGCCACTCGATCCTAGCGACGATGCAAATTAGATCACTCGAGTGGCACTAGATGACCGATATGCAAACAAGTTTGCTCCTTTTTTGATAATACGGCCATCTATCCTAAATCCGGTCATAAACTTCTCTACACACCTATGACCGGTGAAATAAAATGTCCTAGGTTATACCTTTGCCTTACGCATTCCATTTCATCTTCTCCAATGTCGATGCAACACATGCACCAACATGATCAACAATGATATGATCCACTTCATATCATCATGTGATCATATTGGTTCATCGATCTTGACTTCACTTGCTTTTCACCGCGTTGCCTTCGTCCATCGGGCGCCAAGTCTTGCTCAAGCTTCACCGCCACGCGGTCCATTGCTCCAAAGCCTCCGACTTGCCCTTCACGTTTGCAACGGTCCATCAAGCTAAGTCATGTCTTGATCTTCTCCACCTTGATCACGTGACTCAATGCCATGTCTCATGTGCAATAAGCTCCTTCATCATCACATGTGTGAGCTTTGCAATATCTCCGTGCCATTTTCACCTTCATGGCATATGTTGCTCACACACATATACCGTGGACTAATCACCGTGTATCTCACATAAACACAATTAGTCCACCTAGGTTGTCACTTAATTACTAAAACCACACAAGGACCTTTCATCATGGTGCCACCTTCTTCCCTCCCCTCTTGGGCGCGCCATGGCCATGCTTATTTGGCTAGCACTCTGCTGACGCCCCTAAATCGCCCATTGCAATCCCCATCGCCTGTCGGCCTTCTTCCCCCAAACCCCTTCTTCTTTTCCCGTCGAAGTTCGAAAAGAAGGGGTAGGCCTTGATGAGGGCATGGAGGCGGCCGTTGGGGAGGATCGAGGCCGCCTAACACATGCCGTGGTGGAGGCCGCTATGAATCTGAAAGAGAGAGAGAGGTGGAAGAGGGGCACGGGCGTGGAGGGAGACAGGGGAGTGGCTTCTTTGTTCGATGAACCAACAAATAGGAGTATTGTAATGTTAATCTATCTTTTAATAGTACCCCTATTAGTATGTACAGATATATTTTGTGTTTTTAATGATCGATACATTGTTCATGGCATCAATGAAGACAGAGCCTGTTTGGTAAAGATTCACCACTAGAAAAAGTGAATTTGGATCTA